TATCTATACTATGTTATATAACCTCCTTATATAACTATAGGACGATAACGTAAATAACTTATAAGCCTGGATTACTCTCCTTTATGCGTATATAGGACCGACCCCTATAGACCTTTATAAGGAAGCCCTAATCCTATATCGACGATATACTACGCCTATAAAGGCTATACCTAAAGATATAGACGCGTGGGTTATTGTAACCAAGTGAAGACGTAGTGGCACTAGATCGTCAAGATAAAAATCAGATAAAGAGGTTAGTCCAGTAAAACCACGATGTATAACCAAAATATAACTAATACTGCTATAACCTTTAGCGAAGAAGTAGATCGGTAGTTACTATTCTGATCAGGGTAATGTAAGTTGAACTGGAAAGATATCTTAAACGTAGAGTAAGTAATTATAAAAGAGGATAATAATTGAATAATAATCCCTTAATAGGGATGTCCGGCGCCTATCCTTAATATATATATATAGGAGGTAGATCCCGTAGCCTAGAAAAGAGGGTTATATAACCGTCTGCTAAACCACTCTAAAGCCGTATCTACGCGGTTATAATACGGCCCCAGCCATCTCGTTTACGCCCTCGTAGCGTAGATAACTCCTAAAAAAAAAGCAGATATAAGTAAATAAACTAAGCAAACAGCTATCGTATACCCTTATTCCTCTAATCACCTCGTCCTGTACGTATACTTAGTTAGGGATTTTCTTAGCTCCGATTCCTCCTTATATACTATTCCCTTACTATCTTTATTAACTATATCCTTAAGATATCGCCTATCTAATCATCTACTTATGCCTTTACTTACGCTTTTATAGGGTTCGTCCTCCGACTATATAGTTAGGCTTACTAGCCTTCTTAGCCTCTTAATTAGCAGTAGCCTTATCTACTTCCTATTTAATCCCCGCGTTATAACGGAGCTATCCTTCCTAAGGTACTGCTCGAGGCGGCGGCAGATATAACGCGCTATTAGCTATTACGTCTTAGAGGCTAGCTCGGTACGGGTTATTAAAAGACTTAACCTATTCTTCCTTAGTATATAGATTTAGCCTAATAGGACTAACGCGCTTAGCTAGGGGCCGTATATCTACGAGTCTATAGTGAAGCAGGTAATAAGATATCTCCGTGCCTTTAGCCTAATATTTTGCCTCCTTTTCCTATTTATCTTAGATATCGTAGCTCCTCTTCTTTAAGACGGTAGCGGGCTTAGGCGCCTTTAAAGTCTTAAGCGTCTTCGGCGTTTTAGGAAGCGGTGCTTTCTTAACGGCTAAAGGCGTCTTCTTCGTAGCCTTACCCTTAGGTATTTAGAGCTCGAGACTACTAAGGCTTATATCTTCGATATTACTGCTATTATTAGATAGTATTAGAGGGTCCTAGAAACTCTGACCTGGCGTGCTGGTAAGGTCTATAATCTCGGGATTAGGGGAATTAGTAAGATTAATAGACTCCTCCTCGGCTTTAGGCGTCTTAGGAGTCTTATAACCCTTAGACGGGTTAACCGGTATCCTCTTCTTAGTCTTATTAATAGGCTAGAATCTAGTCGTCTTCGGGGCTTCGGGAGACGGCGTTACGGGCTTTATAGCTAGTTCTATATAGTGACCGAAGCCGAAGAGTTTACTAATATAAATCACCTAGCCTTCCTTAATATACTAAGTATATTCCCCTATATTATTCCCGTAATAGCGGCCTTAAGTAAACCTACAAATCTTAGAGCTTTAAGGGAATAAATATCTCTCTTAGACTAAAGCTCTAATCTATTCTATAATAAAAGGACTATAGGAGTAACTACCCTATTATTATTATTATTATTATTATTCTTACTCCGCTATCCTATCTAATCTAATCTATAGGAGCCTAATTTAGACTATACGGTCCTTCTCGGGTAGCTATAGAGGGGAAAACCCGGGATCCCGAGGGTGAGGATTGTTAACGCCATGCCAGGTACATTATGAAGAGGATACCCGCTTCAATCGGCTCTGCCAGTCCCAACAGTCAATTACAACAGCATCTAATCCGTAACTGTTATCATACTCTGTAGGAGCTCCTTTATGCAGTAAGTCCCCATCCCACCATATGGGACATACCCCCTTTTGGGACACCATTTTACACCAAAAACACTGTTTTTACTACTCCTGTTATCTTATAGACTAAAAGACTAAATATTATAAAAATAAAACCCTATATGGATTACAAATCAAGTACTAATATTATATTTATAGCTTTTATATTTCGCTAGTATAAGAGCTATAATATAGCTTAGAAGTTAGGACTTGATTATTTATGTATTTTAGTATGTGTTTTCTTAGTAAACTAGAATATAACTAAGAATATTTATAATAGATTAGTATTATTCGTGAAAAGTATAAGTTATATATCAGAAAATAGCCTATAATTCATAGATACTACCGTATAACCCTTATAGAAAAGTATTTAGTATTCGAGAAGTTATTAAGTAATACGTGTAAGCCTATATAAAGATTTAGTAGGGGATATCTACTTTTAGTTACATTATATAAACTAGAGTATATAGTATTAGATCGGTAATAAATATATATAGTATAGAGTTCGAAGTTATTTCTAGTACTTAATTTATAGCTTTACCTATTCCTATTAATGTATAATTAATATTTATCCATATATTGTATTTTGTTAAGGTTTCCTAGTATAATATATAGTCGCGCTAATAAATATAAATTTCTAACTTCTAACCCATACTATAGTATATATACGATATATATATATAAAACGTTAAACTAAAATACTAATATGTAGGTATTAATCTACTTAGGGGTTTAATGTTATAATAGTTTCTCTTTTACTTCGCAGGATAGTAGGGGTAGTAAAAGTAGTGTTTATAGTGTAAAGTGGTGTCCTAAAAGGGGGTATATCCTATATAGTGGGGTGGGGACTTATATAGTATAGGCACACGGACCACGATATGCTCCCTAGGAGATCTATGCCTGACTAAGGGGCTTCGGATCTCGGGGATCTCGGGGACCTCGGGTATTAGGATATAATAAGGGAGGATACCGGAAAAGACCGGATAGGATCTAAATAATATAGTACCTATAACAGAGTCTTTACTACCTAAATTAAGGGTATAAGAGACTTATATAGATATAACTTAATATAATATATATACACGAAATTTCTACTCTATTAAGTTAATTATATAAGTGCTATTTTAATGTGCGATAGTTATAAGCCCGGTTTATAATGCCTAAACGATAGATATAAATCAAGCTACCCTTATTCTACTATAAAAAGTAATCACGTTTATATAAGCACTCTTAAATAACTACTATTAACCTAATCAGAGTAAATAAGCGATTAATTAACCTACTAACCTACCTATTAATTAATTAATTAACCGATAAGTAAGTAAAGATATCTTCTAACGTATCTAACGCTAATTAAAAGGCAACCGCTACTACCCTTATTAACTAGAGGGATTAGGTAGCGTGGGAGCACGCCGTACACGGTAAATCTGCCTCCCTTGATACCGTTAATATTTTCGACTTCGTGGGGACAAACTACCCCTTTATTAACCTAAATAGGTACACTGCTGTACGTAAACTGAGGGTGAGAGCCTCGGGAAAAAAGAAGACAGCGTACCAGTACTCCGTACCTACCGACCGTCCATCCGAGTCTAGACCCCTGGCATGGAATGACCTATCTCGTAGTTTTCCTGTCTCCATCGTTCGTTCGATCCAAGGTACAAAGTTATGATAGAGATGGGGTGCCCACTTCTTTCTGCCACGAGGGCAAGGAAGGTCGAAAGATGTCGACGTTGGCAATCCGAGGATGCACTTGATCAGGAGGGTCACTTACAACGTACTCCTTCAGGTCATGGGTCGATTTAACATGATGCTTCATATTGGATGAGGATATTCCGACTACGCCGACTAGGATCCAGGTGCCGCAGCTGTGACACTAACTAATACTGTGTGCCCTTAATAAGAGCAAACGACGACGACAACGACGACTACGATAACAATAACAACGTGGAAGACTTAGAGGACGCGGCAACCCACAAGGGTCAGGTAGTATAAAGGGAAGAGGACTGAGAGACATCGCGAGGACTACCTACTGATACCTGCCTACCGCAGGCTGACCCTACGGACTAATCGTTAGGTGGCAGTTAGGTATCACAGCTGTCCACCTGGAGTCTAGTCGGAATTATCCTCACCCTTCATATATATTCGTAATTCCATACACTGGATGGGTATACAGACCCTCGCTGCTTCGGGGCCAAGTTCCTAATACCAGGCACGAGAATTAAAGAAGCGGCGGGGCGCATGTATAATTGAATATTCCCAAGCTCCCATGTTGGGCCAACGACCGTAAAAGCTATCATGGAAGTGCTTGGCGCTCTCTGCCTGTATTTCGTGCGGGTTTCGCTCCATGGCCCTAATGAACCTGGCTACGGACCCCGGCTTCTGCTCAGTTAACATTCGCACGCCATCCATCGAGCTTGTTGTTTCGGCGGATATGCCTGTGATGCAGCCTCGATCCGCCAAGGTCGTTTGCTGGGCGAGGCGATACTGTGAAGAACTTGGTTGCGTTTCTTGTCTGCTTGGCCTAGAAGAGAGGTCTGAGTCGTATGATATTGACTTGCTAAAGAAGACGTGGGCTGTATATTTAAATCTATAGACCCAGAGTAAACATACAAATAACAATATAAGAATGATAGGCAATAACTATGCCGGTATGCTATACTCTAGTCATAATACGTCTAGCATCGCACTGCAGAGAGTAAGCGTAAGCTTGACTCAGGTAGGTAGGCCATAACCACGAAGACGACACTCAAAATCCAAAGATAATTTCCTAAATACGCCCTAGAGCAAGTATCACATAAAATATACGAGCTGGCTAGGTAGTAGCAGGCTTACGAAGTACAATCTAGTTCTCTTCCTGGATTCACCCAACAGGCCAGGAATAATCCCATCAAAGCCCTGACAAAGACATACGCTGAGTTTCGTTGTGTATGATCCAAAAGGTATGCCGAAGAAGCGGCGGTTCAGCGTGGAACCATTATCATTAATAAGGCTGTCTATAATATGCCTCTGGAAATCCCTCTCGATGCTCAAGGGAGGCGGTATCACACCTACCCCTGGAGACCGGAGCACGATCGCGCAACGCGAATGAGAGCTGTCTCTAACTACACACAAAGTACCCTCTTCCTGGCAACACCCCACCCCGAGTCGCTCAAATAATCTATTGCCATGCCGTGTATGTCCTTTCCATTGACCCGCCTCTACCCCTGACACCCAGAAATAGTGCCCATCCAGGCCCAATAGCCACTGCCGCGATAACTCAAGGGCAGAGGATGAAACGGAACGGGCGAGTTCCCTAAACCGACGACCTGGGTTTGGCACTCGGCGCCGAGTTCCGGGCAAGCATGCCCATCCCGGCAAAAATGACACCGATAGGACTCACGCCGGAGGACGCTTCATACGCCCAGGTCTCTAGAGGGAACCTACCCGGTCCGCGCACTGGATTTCCGCGTCATAACCTTGGTGATGGCATGGCGTATGGTGATCCCGGCCTTTTCTATTTCCTTCTTGGAGAGTCCTGATGTCACGCATACCTTAAGTGCAGGTTGCACTTGCCATCCGCCACTCTGGGACCCGACGTAGTTCAGCAAAGGCATTGTCTTCAGTTTCGTGATGAGGACCCCGTTGGCCAAAGCCTGCCGAGAATGTTAGCTCCTAATCTCCAGTGCCGCCACAGCAGTCAAGCACATAACGCAGTTACCTACCTCGTCCACGCACTCCTGTAAGAGGCGTTCTTGGCCCAATATGGACAGATTACGCCCCTTCACCACCTCGGGCTTAAGTACCAGGAGCAATATCGGATTTTCCGGTACACTTGTGCATGTGACCCAATCGCTGCGAGGATCCAACTGAGCTCTCATCGCTCGGATGTTGTCACGGCACTGCGTCAAGATGTCCGGGTTCGACTGCAGCAGGCTCAGCGTTTCAGTTGCGGTAATCGCAAGCATGGCCGGTAACGCAGCCGAGAAGGTGTATGAGGCGGCTGAGATGCGTTGATGCTCGACAACATCCTTGGCCCCAGCGCAAAATCCTCCGCCAGCACAGAGAGGACCGGCCAGAGACCCAACAATCATGTCCACCTGAGTTGGGTCGACGTTCTGGGCTTCTGTCAAGCCCCGCCCCGACCGTCCGAGGGTGCCAAAAGACCAAGTCTCGTCCAGGATGATGCGAAACTTGTACTTTTCCTTCAGCTCCACCAACTTGGGCAGATCGACGCTGTCGCCGGTCATCTCGAAAAGCCCCTCGGCCACAATGAAGCGCCTGGTCAGCTTCTTTCCCGCTTGGTCCTTGACCACTTTCAGCATGACACGCTCTAAATCATCCATGTCGCCGTGCTGATACCATTTGATGCTGCTACGGGAAATCTCGAGGCCCCTGCGGATCGCGTAGTTCACGGCGCGATCGGCGACAATGATGTCTCCTCGCTTGCAGAAGGCTGGGATGACGCTCGATATGGTCGAGAAGGCCTGGGCGTATACGATACACCCCTCAGTCCCGAGGTAGTTGGCGATATCCGCTTCGGTCTTCATGTGAACATCCTGCGTCCCGTAGAACTGAGGCGGGCCGCAAGGGCCAACGCCGTATGTGCGCAGCGTCTGAATTGCCTTCTCCTTGATCTGTTCGTTGGCGTTGAAGTTGTAGAAGTTGTAGGTTGCAAGATTCGTCACTGTCCGTCCATTGCTGAGCTTGGACTTCGGTCCCGTAGGCCTTATAGCCCGTCATCAGTATCGGTCACTCGGTTTCGACTCCAGCCGGTATTCCGTTGGGACCAAGGTAGTGAGTACATACCCAACGATGACGGGCAGCTTTTCAGCCTCTACCTCCTCAAACGCAGTAAGAGGCGCAACCAGGGGCTCGGGACTCCATTCGTAGACTAGTTCGTCAATTTCCTGCGCACCAAGTCAGACCCCGCGACGAAGAGGAACGTGAACATTGAAGCAGGGATGGGCTAATATGCAGTGATGGATGGCATACGTCGTCGCGTAGTTTCACGTAATTTTGTTTCTGAGTAGAGTAGGAGGGAGACAGGAGATATCGAATGAAGAAGATAACCAGTATTAATTCTATCGCGGAGCGAATAGGGTCGTTCTGGTAGCTTGACTGGACGTAACGAACAAGGACAGCGGACCCAGGCAATTTCTGAAAGGTTGTAACGACATATCGTAGCCACGACTTCAGGAGAATCTGCGCTTCGTCCAAGTCCATATTCGCGTAGGTAGAGGGTGGGCGCAAAGGCGAAAAGGGGGAAATATTAGGAGATGAAGTTTAGGGGGATATCGGTCAACAAGGAGGTGTCGCAGGAAACGATCATTTTCAGCAAGTTCAGAAGTTCAAATATGGTCCCAGAGAGTGTCCTAGGCGCTCGGTGATTTGCTCGCGTATATTAGGCTATGCACGCGTTGGCTTAGCACCCGAGAAGCACGGATTTAGTACCATATAACCCCTGAAAAAACGTACAAAGTAGTACTTCGTGAATTACCCTTTTAGGAAGTTTAAAAAGGTTCGAGGTACGTGCCTACACTAATAGCACTAATACGAAAACAAATTTCAAATACTATTATAAGATATCTTGAGGTTAATCTAGAATCTATCTATAGCTATTTTATATAAGAAAGGATTTAGTTACTAGATATATATACGGGCTATATAGGAGGTAGTTTATAAAGCTATTAGTTACCATTTAATATATTAAGGAGCTATAAGGTAGTTTTAGAGAGTACTAAGTCTCCCTGTTTTAGTATATCTAAACCTCTATATTTTGTATAGAATCTTAATATATCTAGTTATACTTATTGTCGTGATACTATTGGTTTATATAGGCCCCGCAAGTATATACTGTACGTTTTTTCAGGGGTTAGATAGTATACTCTAACCCCTGTTTAATTTTGTGTGGTGTACTTGCGGATCTGAATAAACCAATAGTATCACGATAATAAGCGGAATAGACTATAACTAGGTATATAAATAGCAGTAATTCTCTATATAAAATACAGGGGTCTAGATATACTACTAAGTATCCGATTAAGCTATATTATAGCTCCCTAATATAAAGTCATATAGTATTAAAGTAATTTATAGCTACTAATAGGAACTGTCTCCTACGTAGTATATATAAGTAGTAAGTGAATCCTTTCCTATAGAATATAGCGATAGACTGATTTTAGCTTGACTTATAGATATGTTATAATACTATTGAAAATTTGTATATTATAGATACTATCAGTATAGGTATATTTATCGAACTTTCTTTAACTTCCTAAAGAGTAGTTTACGAATATATCTTAAATATAATTAAATAGAGGTTATATAGTATAATACGTAGTTATAGTATTAGGTATATAGGATATAGTAGTTATTCTAGTATTAGTATTTTCTATTATTACTATTGATCTTACTCTGCTATCCTATCTAATCTATAGGAGTTTAATTTAGACTATATAGTCCTTCTTAAGTAGCTATAAAAGGAAAATCCCGGGGTCCCGGGGAATACCTTTATACTTATCCTTAAGTAAAGTGGTGCTACTACGGGGCCGATATAGCCCCGGTTTATCTCTTTTATATATCTGGATTATAGCTTTAGGCTAGTAGCTAATAAAAGGATAATAGGCTATAGTTCGGGTTACCCTAGGCTAATCGCTAGTAAGGGAGCGGAGGCCGTATAGGTACCGCGGTGTCTTATAACACGTTAAATAGCACTTGTAATAGTAAACCTAATAGAGCAGATATCTTGTGTGTATATATTATATTAAGTTATATCTATAAGAGTCTCTTATCCCTTTATTTAGGTAGTGTAGACTTTATCTATAGGTACTATATTATTATTATTATTATTATTATCGATCCTACTCCGCTATCCTAACTAATCTATAGGAGCCTTTCTAGGCTATATAGTCCTTCTCGGGTAGCTATAGGGGGGAAAACCCGGGTAAAACCCGGGGAAAACCCCTATACACTTTCTTAGGTGGAGTAATACCGTTACGGGGCCGATATAGCCCCGGTTTATCTCTACTATATATCTGGATTATACCTTTAGGCTAGTAGCTAATAGGAAGTATAGCAGGCTAGGGTTAGGTAGGTTAGCCTAAGCTAATCGTTAGCGGCGGAATAGGGGCTAAGGGGGTACCGCCACGCCTCCGCGGTACGGAGGCTATAGCCCTTTAGCCTCGGCCTCCCTATATCCCCAAGGATCGTGCCTTTATTCCTTCTACTCGGTTAATAAAGAGAGTAAGGGAGGTAAGCGCCTTCTGCCTCCCCTAAGTGGGTTCCTGCTATATCCGGCGGTAGGTAGGGGGAATAGGGCCTTACCCTATTATAGGAATTAGATAGATAATATCCCCCGAGGCATTTATACCTTAATCCTCCCTCTTCATCTTATAACGCTAACGAGTTCGTTATAGGTTTTCCCTGATCTATTCCCGCTAATAGTCTTATAGGTATATCGTTATAGCCTATACAAACTAGTATACCCCTTTAGTTTTCTTATTATACTCCTATTATATTTTAACTATAGGTGCTTTATAGATAGTATCGCAGTAGCGTAGTAGCGTAGGGTTAATTAGGCAGTATAGTAGCGATTTATATATATATATATATAAGTAATCCGAAGTAATAACGTAATATAAGTTCCCTTTATAGCGTAGCGGTGCCTTAGTGGTAGCGTGCTAATAGTCGTAGATATCGTCTCCTAATAATAATGATACTAATAATAATAATCGCCGCTATAAGCGCGGTATAGTTCGTGTTATACCGTATATAGCCCTTAGTAGTATCGGAGTAGTATTATAGCGCTAACATAGGGTAGTTATATTCGTTATAGTAAGCGTTTAGGTATTTACCCCGATAATATAAAAGCCTACGCTAATACTACGGGAATAGGCGCGGCCTATTACTAGTATACTAATAGTCGCCGTCCGTGTAAGAATATAAGTCGCTTAGGTACCGTGGCGGTATCGTGTAAGTATCGGGGTGGATATAGCTAATAGTTTAATAGGTCCCCTCCACTACTAAGAAGTAGTAGTAACGTCTTATAGATATCTATTAGGCGTATATAGCGGTAAAGGCCGCTAATAGCGCGGGTATCGCTATTATAGGTATTCCCCTTTAATACCGTGGCGGTTCTATACTAATAAGTTATAGGCTAAGGAGCGCCTAGGGACGGCGTCCTGGTCTTTTAGCCGGGCCCTAAACCGGGCGTTACCTTCCGGTCATAGTCGCGGCGGTACCGTGTCGGTAAAGGTGTAGGAGTTATCTTATTAGATAAGGCGTTTAGAGGGTAAGATAGACCTTATCCTAGAATACCTTATAAGTGGCTCCCCCCTGGTCCCGCTACGACTCCTTAGCGGTATTAGCTAATTAGCCTGATAGGGTCTTAAGTATATTAAAAGCGGTGTTAATACCTTTAAGGGAGGTAATAACGATAAGAGCTAATCGGTGGTATAATAGTACCGCGTTAATACTATTAGGGCCCCGGCTTATAGGGCCCTTATCCTAATACTTAATTAGTCGTCGTGCTACTTTATCCCCCATACGGTCCCCCTTTAGTATCGCGGATATCTTCGTAGGCCTCTATAACTTCGAGGGCGAGGCGGAAGTCCTTAAGCCTCTTCCGTTATAGGAACTACCTTATAACTGCCCTGGCTTCCGTGTCGTGGTCTAATACGTCGTATAGATCCCCTTCAATCGTGAGTAGTCTCCCTATAGCACCGAAAAGCTCCCTACGCTCTTCCTCAGTTATATCCTAGTATTAGAGTACTATATACTCCGCTATTTCTGCCCCCCTATTGCTATAAGGGCACCGCATTATTAGAAATCCCGGTACCCTCGCTTTTACTAAGAAGGCTTATAGGCCTAGCTTTTTTATTCTAATTTAGGTAAGTACGGCGCTCTATAGCTTTAGGAGTCCTCTATATTTCCAGAGGGAGTATTATATTAGGGAGCGGCTCGGTACCGTTATAGCGTAGGTGTATAGCCTCCGTGACTCTGCCTAGGTTTAACCCTAGTCCTTTATAAGGGCTTTCCTCGGGGCTATATTTCCGGCCTAGGTTATTAGGGCGTTAAGTTAGGCTATCCACGCGAGGGCCGTATAGGTCTTATAATACCGATTCGGTGCCGCTAAGGCTCTCGCTACAGCGTATACTCCGGCTAATATCTTATCTTTAGTTCTCTCCTTTTATATCCGGCGGACTTTCTAGACACTAAGGCTTACAAGGTATAGGTTAAGGGGGGGGGATAAAGGTCTCTTTTTCAAGGACCCTAACCGGTATAGCTTTATAGGCTCCGGCTACTAATCGGAGGCACCGGTTCTATACCGTTATAAATACCGCTACGGGGCCTTACCGGGGGCCGGCCCTTATCTTATAAACGGTTAAAGCGTAGTAGGTAATTATTAGTCGTATTACTACGAGGTATAGTCTTTTTATATCCGCGAAGCTATACCCCTACGCTACTGCGCTAAGCCTTAAGAAGGCGTATATCTAGGTAGTTAGGCGGCTTTTAACCTTTTTAGTATTTTATCGGAAGTTAAGCTTCCTATTAAGCTAAACGCCTAAAGACTTTATCGCCTCCGCTACCGGCACCGAAATAGTATTAAGGGGGAGCGGGGTAGGTAAGGGTTAGCGTAACTTCGTAAAGGGAATATAAATACACTTAGCTAGTTCGAACTATAATCCGCTCGCTATCTCCTATTCTAGGTATATCCTCTATACGGCGGTAAGGCGTTACCGCGTCTATACCTCCGTCTTACCCAAGGCGATAATATTTATATTATCGGTAAAACCTACTACTATCGTTTTAAGGACCCTTTCTAGCTCTTCGTATAGAATAGAGATATAGAGGATAAAGAGGATAGGGGAGATCGGGGAGCCTTATAGTATACCCCTGTAAAGGTGTTATAGGGGGGCCGTTTCGTTATTAAGTAATAGCTAGGCTATACAGTCCTAGAGAAAGCTACTAATTAGGGTATTAAGCTACCGGGGGTAGCTTTTCCTTTTAAGCACCTCGATAAGGCGGGAATAGGGGATAGTATTAAAGACGCTTTTAATATCTAGTTAGAGTATCGAAGCGGTGCCGCTATAGGCCTAGCTCGCCTTTACGGCCTCCGTGGTTCTTTATACTACTATCTTTATACTTCGCCCTATCCGGTTACTTATTTATCCCTTTAGGAGGAGCCGATACTCCTTTACTATAACCGCGATCCGGTTACCTAATATCCCCTTAAGGACCTTACCTATTATACTAAGGAGTAATATTGGTCGCTAGCCCTTTATTATCCCGTAGTTAGCCAGCGGCCGGCCTTCCTTTTTAAGGACTACTATAATAGCGTAGCGGCACCTTTTC